CGGTTTACCCGGACCCGATGGACCCAAACCCGGATTACCCGGAACCCGGATAAAGCCAATTTTTAAACTCGGAACCGGAACCGGTTCTATATATTCTGGTTCTAACGGTTCCGGTTCCGGTCTGATTCCGGTTCCGGTCCGGTTTTCCGGTTCTAAATCTCATCCATAGCAGTGCACACACCTATGATTTCCGCAATGAGTGATTTTGGGATAAACTCTGATAAATATTTTACTTAATGATGATTTGAAATGTTTGAAATAAATGGTAGCAATGCTTTAGCTACATTTAAAAATGAAATTTTTACCCTTGATTTTTGGGTCGTTACATGATGATATTAGAGTTGATGTGGATGATCTAGATAAAATAATTGGATGCCTTGGTTGATGTGGACTTGGAGGAAGATTCCATGGCTTACGTAAGATTATGTTTCAAACATTGACAGTTTTGAATTTTGACTTTTTATATTACTTTTATATATGTTTTATGTTTATATATATTAATTATGCATGATATAAAAATACTGATACCCACCGATATCCCACCGCGATAACCTATATCCCAAATATCGGCCCTTGACCGTTATTTGATTTTGGACCGCTATAACTGCCTAGGATACAACAACTCTAATATAGTGGAGACCGATACAACAAGACGCCTAAACAACAATATAGGAGTACCGTCTCAGCCTACACCCTAAAACGCTTAAGTTTACCAAAAGTCAACAATGGTCAAACAGTTAACGGGCAAAGTCAGCCCCGACTGACCCCCATGTTGTGGCCACCCTTTGACCACGTCATAGAAGCATCAGGACAAACAGTTGCAAGGATTTCTCGTCGCCACATCGTGGGAGCTGCTCAGATCAACTTAATGCATTACACTCTTAATCTTTTCAAGCCATTGATTCATACTTTCCAAAAGGATTTCTTACTCTCAATACTTCATTAAAATCATTATGTTATAGACATGCATGTATAATGCATGTCATGAGTTCATGTTAGGTAAAAATAATGAAAATGAGGTTAAGATCTCATGAAAGGAATCCATAACTTTATAACTCTCTAGATATGGGACAAGAGACGACAAAGGAACCTCAAGGATCCATATCTTTTCCAACTTTATGGAATCCATACACTCAAACCACCCCAAAGATGGAGGAAAGTAGATAAAGAGCTAGATCTAGCATGTTTAAACACAAAAGGTAGAGGCTTGAGGACATACAAGAGTCCAAAAACAACACAAGATGATGATGAGGATATTTGCTTGCTACAACAATCCACCAAAGACACATTCTACTTCTTTAAAGGACCAAAAACCACCATAAATGCTCAGAATATAAATAATGGAGGCTAGGGTTTTATCCATGTTGTAAGAGAGTTGATGTAGGCTAAGAGAAAGCAAACCTGGCCATTGCATCCCTTAAATAAGGCACAAAACCTAAAAAATTTAGGGTTTTGCATACTGGCCGCCACCATATCGTGGGTAGGCACTTGCCACTTCGTGGTGCGCATGAATGTTGCGCGTTTCCACTGGCTATAACCACGTCGTTGTACATCCTTCACTACATTGTGGACACTATAAAACCCACACTTTTAATTCTTAATTTCCATAAAAATAATTAAATTATCTACCTGGAACACGTTTTGTAACTCTCATTCACTTGAATCAGATTTCGTCCTCGAAATTCGTTGTTGCAAATAACTTAGGCTAACACTCCCCCATCTCCTCCTCGAGTTTCCATGTCCATTCGAAACTCTTTCGGTATGACAACTATAGAAATTAGATCATTGTTAAACGAACATTGTTACTCTAATCACTATAAAGATAAACTCCATTTAAATACGAAGGAATGAACACGTAGATGTACTGATAAAAGGAACAAAAATAATGAAGCATAATCAAGGTATTATGTATGTCGATGTTGTGCGTAAGGGATATAAGGAAAAAATGATTTTTTTTTTTGGCAAATAGATGTAGTCCCACATCCCTTATCGGATGAAAGGATTTTGGCACATGGAGGTTATAAAAGGAGCGCTTCTTTAAGAACCCATCCACACAAATGAACCGTGTGTTAGTGAATCGGAAGAATTAACTAAACCGTCAGGTTTAGTGAAAATTCTGGTTAAAAATAAATATCATGGTTTGTGTTGGACCAACTTAGTCCGAGTTTGTTCAATTTTTGACTAAGTTTATTTGATTTTTGAGTTTTTTTGGCCGAGTAGGCTGAACTTGTGTCGGTAGAGGTCCGAGTCCAAGTACTTTGCCGAGTTTTACAATGTTGCCTACCATACAACATGTTATCAACAAAATTCTCATAAGAATTCATTAGTAGACATAAGAGGATAATTGCTTGATCCTCATCTTCAATCTTTACATTCACACCTTGTAAATCCAAGCTGATCCTATTAAAGTTATGTATATGTTCCTTCACCTCGGTACTTTCAGACATCCTAAAAGTATTCGAACATTGCTTCTGATACAACCTATCCGTGAGAAATTTATTTTGATACTTGTCAAATGCTCCAACTTTCTTTCTAAACAGTCAAATCATGTTTAGGAACGTATTTAGTATTTAATGTTGAAGATTAAACTAAAAAAATCATTGGCAAAAAATAATAATAAAGTTTTAAGGGTTAAACATAATAAGGTGATTAGAATAGAACATTATTGAAAAATGAGTTAATTATACTAAGTTACAAACCTTGAAACCTAAAAAAACTGTTTAATAGAATAAAAGTTGTTTTTACAATAGATCTAACAATCAAATCATTCTGATGGCAAAAGAAAATGTTTTTGATGTTAATTATTAATATTTCACATGTCAAATAACGTCGGATTGGAGATGCTTTTAGTTTGAAGATGCTTTTAGTTTGAATATTAGTATAATATGTTTTTATGAAAACGTAGAATTATGACATGTTATAAAATACATTTCAAGTAAAAAAATGTCAAATATTATGACTTGAAAAACATCTGTGGGAAATGTTTGTCATAAATTTATAACAGGCAAATGTTAATCCTCCATTACTTATGAAGCACGGGTTTTCCTTGGCGGACAAATGTCTGCAATTCATTGTTTATGATGAGGTTTTCTACGAAAGTCTTTTATCCATAGCTTTTTCCTACGACAGTAATTAAAACCATTTTTTTTCTCATGGTAGTGTTTGTACAATTAATTATGTGCTCCATAATAACATTAGCATCACCCTTTTACAGATAGAATACGTTCTATGTCTAAGATAATTGAATTTTACATAGCACCAACATTCAAGCAACAATAAATTGGAACCGAAATAAGGCATCTTGTGGAAGTAACAAGGATGACTTACCTTGGTATATCTTATTCAAATCAAATCACTCTTCAATTTAGTTAGTTTCGAGGGAAAAACATAATTACTTCAACTCATTTAGTTTATTAGAGCGCAATGTCTTCTGATTTCACCGGCGTTGCCAGTTAGAACTCCAATTTGTCCCATTTTCACCATTGATGCTTGGAAATCTTTAAAGAATGCGTACCCATGAGACTTAGCTTGAAGCTTGACATAAGCACTTGTTGTTTTATCATTTAGAAGTGCAGCATC